CCTTTATTTCGGACGCGATTTCCGAAACGATAGCAACGAATGGATTGATGTCTGAGAAGACCACCAAATGAATGAAGTCTTGACTTCAATGGACTCACAATTGATGCCATAATTGAGTCCAACTCTTCACCGATTGTGTGCTTCCGATGTCTAATCAAAATAATGCAAACATGTGTTCAGACGTGACATTCACTGCACACTAGATGTCACTCTAACGCTATTCCCATAATAAACACATGTTTTGTCATAATTTTGATAAATATTTAGTAATAAATCAATTATTTGTGTAAAAAATGATAATTAATTGTAATTCATATGAGATGTGAGCCAATGAACGATACAATGCTTTGAATGCAATTCTAGTCCCATTTATTCAACTATTTGTGATATTAATTAAAAAGTTGCTATAAATTTAATTAAGTTTGCAAATCAAAGCAATAATAAAACTGTAAATTAATAATTGCGTTAATAATTAACAATTTAAACAATGACTGAATCAAAGGGGAAGTCATATTTTGGTGGACTCTTTCCCACGCCTTTCACAGCGTTTATATTCATAGCATATATGATTGCATTCATAAATCAGGGTTTGTATGATATGTTGCACTTTTGTAATCACCGATTCATCACTAATCACACCATTATTATCTAAAACACCTGTCTATGTGTCATCACTTGCTATTATAATACAACAAATAATTCATTTAAACGCTTTTAATGAAATAATTCATACAAATCCTAATATTTGTTCAACATTTCAGGTTTAAATTGCTTTAATAAAAAATTAAATGAAGCTATCTCATTATCTCATAATTTAATAATAGATTTAGATGACAATTAAAATTGCAATTATATAGGTTGTAATACATCTAATAATCAAATCATATATTCCTTTCAAAAATTAAAAATATTTTTAATATTTTGTAATGCTAATACATTAGCATTTAAATTTAGACAAATATGTGCTAGAATTGTACAATTTGTGCATACTTATCTAATGACCTAATTAATGGTAAAATTGATGGCAATATACCTTCAAACCATTTGATGTTATGATACTTTTATGATTCATTTAAATTTAGACAAATATGTGCTAGAATTGTACAATTTGTGCATACTTATCTAATGACCTAATTAATGGTAAAATTGATGGCAATATACCTTCAAACCATTTGATGTTATGATACTTTTATGATAAGTAGTACTTTGACTAATTGGATGCTTATTGATAGATATATTAATAATAGTGTAATTGTGGTGAATATGAACAGAATATTCTTATGTAGAGTACTATTAGGGTGTTAATAGAGTTGTATTGAATGAATGCAAAACTAATGGCAAGTTTTGTATGTTTTTTCAGGAATTCTGGTGACGGCCACAAAGACAAGTGATAATAAATACAATTACAGCACAATTACAGTGGTTTTACTGACAGAGTGTATCAAACTAATGATATCCATAGGAATGTATATGAAAGACAAACCATTGCGGGAACTGATGCCAGAAATGGTAAAGAATCACAAAGTATTGGTGTTGTATTTGGTGCCGGCATTCCTCTACTGTCTGTACAACAACCTGTCGTTCATAAACCTGTCGTCCTATGATCCGACCACTTATTATCTGTTACTACAGTTGCGAGTAGTGGTCACTGGAGTTATATATCAGTTCCTATTCAACCGAATCCTATCGAAAGCCCAATGGTTTTCATTGATATTGTTAACCATGGGATGTGTTGTCAAACAATTGGGCGGTTTTTCGCACAACTCCTCCGATAAATCATTCGTTAGTCTTAACTTAATATTGATTTTACTTCAAGTGTTTTGTTCGTGTTTCGCCGGCGTTTACAACGAGTATCTCTTGAAAGACGTCGGCTCTAAAGTGCATCTAATGGTCCAAAACGTGTTTATGTATATCGACTCAATTGCCTGTAATTTGGTATTACTCTTAATAACCGGTGAAATCAGTCGCCTCTCGGAACT